ATGGACTCTGAAGGATATCAGATATATTTTAAGACTCAAGAGAATGTTAATCTTTGTGGGTATGTTGGATGTTCAAGAATATTGAGTCATATTCAAAGAAGACAGATAGAAGGTGGTGAATGGTATTCTAATTGTTGCTCATGGTTAGAAGAAAGGAACCATATACATGACAGAATTACCTACAGAAGAAGTAAATTCAATTAGTGATGGTGTTGGTGATGATTTTGGTCATTCTTCAACTTTGTGGCACCAAAGGCTTGGTCACATGATCGAGAAGGTTATGAAGATATTAGTATCAAAGGGGAAGATTCTAGAACTAGAAAAGGTACAAGTCGGTTTCTGTGAACCATGTGTGTTTGGGAAACAAAAAAGAGTTACTTTTGCAAAGTCAGGAAGGATGCCCAAGGTAGAGAAGTTGGAACTTATTCATTCAGATGTGTATGAGCCAACATCAGTCTTATCATTGGGAGGATCACGATACTATGTCACTTCATTAATGATTCCACTAGAAAGGTATGAGTTTATTTTTTGAAGCAAAAATTAGAAGTATTTAATACCTTTAAGAAGTGGAAAGTCATTGTTGAGAATGAGACAGGGTTAAAAATTAAATGTTTAAAGTCTGATAATGGTGGTGAATATAATAGTACTAAATTTGTTGATTATTATGCTGAGAATGAAATTAGAATGCTTAAAATTATTCCTGAGACACCTCAGTAGAATGGTATTGTTGAAAGAATGAAGAAGACCCTGAATGAGAGGGAAAAAAGTACGAGAATTCATGCAGGATTACTAAAGACATTCTGGGCAGAAATAGTGAGCACAGTAGCATACCTCAATAATCGAGGATCCTTAGTTCCCATATGATTTAAGATTCCTGAAGAAGAATGGCAAGACAATGATGTAAGTCTTTCTCATTTGAAAGTATTTGGTTATTCTTCTTATGTTCATGTTAAAGATGTTAACAAGGACAAACTTTATCTGAAAGCAAGAAAGTGCATTTTTATTGGCTATGGAGTAGATGATATGGGATATCGCTTCTAGGATGATCAGAACAAAAGGATCATTAGAAGTGGAGATGTTACATTTAATGAAAATGCAATGTATAAGGATAAACTTTAGACAAAAGTTGAAGCTGAAAAGAAGCCAACAGAGAAGGAAAAGGTAGTGTTAGAGGACATTACAGAAGACGATCTATCAGGAAAATGTGAGAGCTTAGGAGATAGCACTATTAAGGAGACTACTCCTGTCACCCTAGTAGTTGAAGTGAGGAGATCCAATAGAGTTATTAGGCTTCCTCATAGGTTTTCTCCTTCAACAAATTACTTGTTGTTGATTGATGATGAAGTACCTTTGTGTTATGATGAGGCATTACAGATGGATGATGCAGCTCAGTGGGGGTTAGCCATGTAAGAGGAGATGAACTCACTTGAGAAAAACAAAACTTGGTGTTTAACTGACCTATCAACAGGAAAGAGGGCATTGTAAAATAAGTGGGTCTTTAGGATCAGGGAAGAACATGATGTCAACAAGAGATACAAGATAACGTTAGTGGTGAAAGGCTTTCAGCATAAAAGAGGTATTAACTATAATGATATTTTTTCTCCTATAGTTAAAATGACTACCAATAGACTTGTGTTGAGTATTGTGGCTACAGAGGATTTACATCTAGAGAAGTTAGATGTTAAGACAACATTCTTACATGGTGAGCTTGATGAGGACATCTACATGATGCAACTAGAGGGTTTCCAAGTTGTAGAGAAAGAGAACTTGATTTGCAAGTTGACCAAGAGTCTGTATGGGTTGAAGCAAGCACCTAGACAGTGGTACTTAAAGTTTGATAAATTTATGAGTAGGATAGGGTACAAGAAGTGTGTCATGGATCGGTGTTGTTATATGAAATTTTTTTATTCATCCTATATCATATTACTACTGTATGTTGATGACATGTTAGTTGTAGGTTCTAACATGGATGAAATTAATAGTTTGAAGGCACAGTTGTCTGAAGAGTTTGAGATGAAGGATTTGGGTATTGCAAAATAGATTTTGGGCATGAATATCAACATGAATAAATTTGAAGGTTCCTTAATATTATCTCAAGAGAAGTATATTGAGAAAGTGTTAGAGAAATTCAATATGCAGGATGCCAAAATCGTAAGTACACCTTTGGGAGTTCACTTTAATCTCACCCAAGAGGAGTCACCTAAGACAGATGAAGACAAGACAGCAATGACTAAAGTTCCTTATCTATCTACAGTCGGTAGCTTAATGTATGCAATGGTATGCACTAGACCAGACATTGCTCATGAAGTGGGAGTTGTTAGTAGATTCATGTCTAATCCAGGAAGGAAGCATTGGGAAGTTGTCAAGTGGTTGTTACGCTACTTAAAAGGTACTTCTAAAACTGCATTATGTTTTAAAAGAAATGATGTCATTTTGAAAGGATATTCCGATGCAAATTTGGGAGGTTGTTTAGACACAAAGAAGAGTACTACAGGATTTGTCTTCACAATAGGTGGCACAACAATTAGTTGAATGTCTTGACTTCAAAAAAGTGTTGCACTTTCAACCACAGAAGCAAAGTACATGGTTCCAAAGCTAGTAAGGAAATGATTTGGTTGAAGAATTTTCTTGAGGAACTAGACAAGAAACACTGTGACAATATTATTTATAACGATAGTCAGAGTGTCATTCATCTTGCAAAGAATCTTGTTTTTCATGTAAGTACAAAGTATATCTAGTTGAGGTATCACTTCATTAGAGGAGTAATAAGTGATGGTACTTTGTTTTTGGAGAAGATCCTTGGGTCATAGAATCCTGCAAATATGTTGACCAAGGTGGTTACTATTGAGAAGTTGAAGTTTTGCATAACTTCAACTGGCCTTCATGGTTAATTGTTGACCAAGTGGTATCAGAGCTAAAGGTTGATCGACAGTGGGTTAGAGTGGTCTTTGTATCGAAAGTCTTCCTGACAGAGTGGGTCAGGTAAGTGTGTCCCGTTAGAGTGAACGACAGTACATGGAAGGACCACTAGTGAGCTCGAGGGGATGTATCAATGTGGAGGAGTCACACTTGAGGGGGAGATTGTTGGGTAATCCAAATGTGAGTTAAGTCCCACATTGTGTAAGAATGAGAAAGTTGAGCAACATATAAGGAAATATGACCCATAACCTAATGCCTTAAGGTTTTGGGTTGAGAGTGGTGTCAATTCCTTATGTGGGTTGAACTCATGTCTCATTGGTATGTTCTCCCTTGTGAATCCTCGTCAAAAAGACCCAACATGCCTTGCCCTGCAAAACTATGACCTTCTCTTCCCTCATAAGTTGTCCATGCTTCAAAGGCTTGGGGTCCAAGGCTCCTTTCCTCCAAAAAAGGTGGTGGACTCCAAAAGAGAGTGTCCTCTAGTAATGCTATCTAAATGTGTCTAGAAAATTAGAGAGAAGGAAAAATACTAAATAAATTAAAGGTTAAAGATGAGGAGGAGGTTTTCGTTCTAATTATGCTTCTAATGATCCTCTTGGGGATAATGTCTCACTCCTCATGGAAGCTTAGAGACTCATCATAAATTCATGAATAAAAATGTTGGGAGACATGTTCATATGAAATATATTTCATACACAATCAAGCAACTGTGAGTATTCTAAAATCATTTTCATTTTCACCCTTTCATTTTCTATTGATAAGAAGAACGGCCCTTTATTCCCAAAACAGTTATGATCGGTGCCTTATTGCTATGCGATCAGAAAAAAGTTACTGGGCATTATTAATTTATTTTAGCTTAATCCAAGTTAAATTTAATAGATGGAACAATTAGAAATGAAAATATAATTTTGATTTGCAAGGGATATTTTCCTACATGCATAGGTGGATATATCTCTTTTAGGAATATGAAGGTGAATCAGTAGCATGAAGTGTATTAGCTCTAATATTTCGTTACTCTTGCTTATATGCAGTTGGGTATCGATGATTACTAATAATATAGTAATTTATTGTAATAATGTTCTCTTGTTTACATCCAGTAGAGATTTAAGCTCCAATGATGATAGATACAGTGGCAGGGATTGATCACTGAGTTCTGATTCTAACAGAGCATTAGGGATAGAATAACAATTTTTGTTTGATATATAATTTTCTTTCTGTTAGCCTTAGTATAAAAGTAGAATAACATTGGTTCAAGTTTTTCTTTATATTTAAACTCAAAGAAAGCCTTTCAACACTAGTAACCGTGATAGTAGGCATCGATTTCCGTTCTAATTTTCAAAATTAAACAATCAAATGGATGATGAACGAAGCAGATCAGCTAGGAAAAAATATATGCGTTGGAAGTTCTTGATGCTTTCTTTGCATAGAAAAAATTGATCACTCTTCACAAGTTTTTGTCCACCATGATGTGAATGTAACCCATCCTACTGGTCTAAACACAGCTTCAAATGGTTATTGTGACACATTCTATTCAAATAAGGGGACGAGGCTACGGTGTTATCTAAATAATGTAGCACACAGTACCGAACACAGAAACTAACAGTCAACAAAGCAAAACACATTTCATAAGAAAATATCAAAACACGGTTGGGTATTTCTGAGGGAGATTCACAAGGGAGAACACAATACCAATACTAATGACATATGAGTCTAACCCACATAAGAATTGACAGCACTTTCAACCAAAAACTTTAAAATATTGAGTTATGGATCATATTTCCTTATATGTTATTCAACTTTCTCATTCTTACTCAATCTAAAACTTAGAATCATACTTCGATTACCCAAAAAAACAACAGTCTTTGATACTGTATTAATAATGTAAAATGGAAACAAAATTCACAAAAATAAGAACTAAGGGAATTACTATAAACAATAGGCATAATGCGAGGAGTGAGAAACAGGGTAAAAGAAATATAAATTTCTTAACTATAAACTACTACTCTGCAGAAACAAGGAAACGATCGAAAGAAATACATAGAAATCAAGGACACTTGGATTTAATTCCATAACTCAAGGGATCATTTTCTGTTCTTAAAGAAGAGCAATAACTTGAAGTCACACATTACAATTTTTTTTATGAATTTATTTGGGGCATTTTCCTTGGGCTGCTTGCAAGGCTCCATTTCCGAGTTATTTGGTTCATTGCACATCAGGTAGACAGCTGTGTTCTTGACCACGAATCCATGAGCAAGAGTCACAAAAATCTCCACCTTGTCTCCAGATCCTAAATTTGATATTATGCCCTCCCAATCTATGTCATTAAAGCAAATTACTGTGCCATGCTTGTGTATCTGGAATGTGCACTTTGTGTAGTTAACAATTAAGACACTTGTAAGACATTCAGTTTCCATGATTTCTGGGGGTGATAAATAAACTACACACAAAGCCATTCCCTTGACGTAACAGTCCTGAGGCAGAGTGAAATAAACTGAATGTCCTTCACCCACATGGGCTAACCAATAAGGACGGTTGTCATCTGGAAGAGAAACATCACAAGACTCACTGCTTGCCAATCCCTGTCCCATGAGATAAAAGGCTTAGTCATGTATGTAAATTTGTTATTCAAATGATTACCTATAATCATTATTTTAATCACTCCAAATTACAAAAACGGGCATTTGAAATCAAATTTAAAATGTATTCCAAAACAAGAATTAGGCTTTTTAATCAAATTACAATGCATATTACACAAATAAAATTTAACTAAATTTTTAATAGTTGTGCTGCATATGATTATCAGCTATTTAGAATACATTTCTGTTTAAGTATTACAGGTCTTTCAACATATAATCCATTATACCTTAACGATCAATGGGAATCTAACAAACATGAATCAAGCGTTGGATGATCATTTTGCTTGTTGATTATTAAAATCAGTACTTCTAAATGAAGCAACGCGACCATAGAAGCGATAGGTGCAAAAAGGGAGTATTTGTTGTAAAGTCAAAAACAGTATGAGAAGTTATAAAACCAGATAACATGTAAGAGAGTCTGTAGGGTAGATGCACAATGAAAGAAGTGAAAAAGATTTCATCTCATTTATTACTAAGTAAGAAATATATATAAAAAAATAGTTAGTGACGACTGTGATTTAATTCGTATATTACAGATATATCAAATCTCCAGACTACCACGACTTTCTACCTGCTCTGACTACCCAATCAATTTTCCCATAAAATAAATATTATCATTAATTTCAATTTAACAAGAACAATACACAAAAAAATATTAAATATAATATTAAAGTATATAGAAAATCTCAATTACTGACAGAATTGTAGTTTCTTTTAGATATTTTACAGGATGATTTCTTGTTCTGTTAATTAATATCCGAACTGAATGGTAAAATTGTACACAAATGTAAAGCTAGAGAAGGAACCTCAAAGATGCTGTTGCTGAGAATGTTGAAGAATTCATTGTAACTTCCAACACCAATCAAAAAAGACCTCAAGTGATGCTTTGAAACCCCTAATTCTGTAAAATTTATACCGTGTTTGACCAGAATTGCTTCTACTTGCTTACGTAGTTGAAACTCCGTGTCACATTGCACCAAAACACATCGCAGATTTGCAAGGCTGCTAAGAAATGGCACTAGATCACCCGAACTATTATCCTCCATATCTATGGAAAATGGATGCAAATCACATAGGGGATTCATTGGTGGTATCCAAGACCGAAGTATCGAAGGAAAAAGATTATGTGACGATCCTTCAAATCCTCGTAGGGATATATATCCAATGCATTTTGAGCTTACAATTGAAAGGGGCACTTGTTTCACAGCTTTATTTTCAGCAATTAGTGTTATCAAGGATTCCATCTGCGCTACATCATCTTCCCAAATGTCAATCTTCGAGCAACCAGATAGAATGAGAGTTTTTAAAGATTTCAACTTATATACCTCTCTCGGGAGATTTCTTAGACTTGTACAGTCCTTCAAATTTATGAGGAGTAGGTTGCAGAGATCTCCAATGGATTGGTGTACTTTGCACAATCTTGGACAATCTTTGAGAATGAGCTGTTCAAGACTTGGTAGTCCTGAAAAGTCAGGGGTTTCTGTCAAGTACTTGGAGTGACTAAGATTAAGGAATTTTAGCAACCCTAAAACCTGCAACAAGATAGTTTCTGGACAGATTAGAGCATAAAATAGAACAGGTGCAATAGTTATAACTGGAATCAATTATGCTATCTCTATTTTAATTAACCTATGAGCTTTAAAAGAAAAGGACATGGAATGTATACCCGTGGTTCTTTCCAGACTAGTCTAAGATTACTCCATTTCAAATCAATCGCAATTACACCTTCCATATCATAGTTTTCAGGTATGTATTTTAAAGGAAACCATCGATGACAGATCCACCTCAGTTGCTTAGAAAGATTCGGATAGTCACCGGTGAGTTCTTCATAGATATCGTCCCACACTGTCAACGTATTCATTACATTGAAAGCAGGAATTTTCGACCAGGATGTGTTGGTTAATGGTGATTTGAGAACCAATCCCTGAATAACTTCTCTTCTCTGTGATGAAAAGAGGAAAGAAAAACAATTGAGAAATCCGTCAATAGCTGAGCATATATCACCCATTACAAGACAAACATTTTCAAAATCATATAAAACACAAAAGATACTGACATGAACACGACGTATAATAAGGACTAGAGCAAGGGAAACAAAGAAAGCTTTTCAACAAGTATTTTTGGTTGGCCAAATTGTGTTTTGGATTAATCAATTAATGGACTTTAGTTTAGTTTTATTGCAAGTTGTAATAAGAGCACAATTGAAAATTTAGTTATCAGTCTTTGGGAGACCAAGAGGGTGCATAGCTGATTGACTTTTGGATGCCACAATTTCAGTTACAATCAATCATTAAGTAGTTTTCAATTCGTAGGTTAATAAATCATTATTAGCATTTATTTTCCTTTAATGAATATTTGTAACTCTGATGACAAAGCTTCTTTATAAGCTGAACCATTTTTTATCAGAAATAACAAGTTAAGTTTTATTTTTAGAAATATTAGAGTTTATCTCTTTTATCTTAGTGAGAGTGATTCTCCTAAATTCTTGAGTGATTCAAGAACCCTTGGCTGTATCAAAGGACTGTCACATCCTTTGTGTGTTGCCTCCCTTGGGAAGAGGGATTCTTTCCTTCCACCTTCTTACAAGGTTCTAACCCTAAAGATCCTAAATTACCCCTTGTGATTCATATAAGAGACCCATTATTCTTACCACATTCCTTGTCACTACACATTTTAAATCGCCCGGAAAGCACAGTCGGTAGCGCTTCTCAAATTCTTGTGTTGAACTTTGAAGAATAATTTCTCTCCCCATCACTTGAAGCAAAGGATGCATTCCCAGTTTATTGTTTTTTTCAACTTTTATGAGATTTCGCTTTATGAGAATTTTTATTCCAATACCAGCATTTAGTCCACAACCATTTAGTATCTCTGTAACACAGTCTCTGTCATTACCAATAAAGAAAAAACACACATCAAGGAATACATTCTTTTCCTTGTGATGTAAGGCATCGTAGCTTATTTTCAGTATCTCTTGAATTTGACCATTGAGAATTGTATGAAATTTTAAAAGCACACTTTCCCATTCTTTTTTCTTCCTTTCAAATAAGTACGATCCAATGACTTCAAGAGCTAGAGGTAGTCCTCTACAATATCTAACTACATTTCTTGCAAGGTAATCGTATTCTTCTTTTGGTTTTGCTTCTCTAAATGCGTGCCAACTGAGAAGCTCAAGGGACTCATTTGCTGTCTTTGGCGTTGTTTGAAAAACAGAATCAACTTGACTTATCCTCAGTAGGTATTCACTTCTAGTTGTAATGATTATGACAGTTCCTTTACCGAACCAATCACGACTTCTACATAGGTGATGTAATGAGTCAAGCTCATTCACACCATCAAGTACAATGAGCACCCTTTTCCCAGAAAGTCTTTCTTGAATCATACTTGTTCCCATCTCAACGCTATGTATCTCAACCTTCGTTTTTAGAACATTTGAAAGAAGTTGTTCTTGTAAATGAACATACCCTTTTGTTTGACTAATTTCTGTAATATCTTCAATGAAACTTTTATCTATGAATTTACCATGAATTTGGTTGTAGATGGCTTTGACAATCGTCGTCTTACCCAATCCTCCCATTCCCCATATGCCTATGATACTGACTTCGCTGGCTTTATTTTCAATCATACGAGTTACATTTTCCACGTGGGATTGTAATCCAACTGGAAATTTAGTAGTAGACAAGATTGGTAAATTAAGAACGCTCTTAACAATTTTGTCCACTAGTTCAGCATCACTCCTTCAAGTTCAATAGCAATTATAGAACTAATCAAGTATTACCAAAATTAAATCACAAGCTTAAAACAAGCTTCATTGAGCGAGTGATTTACCTGTAATTGCTCTCATCCCAACCAAAGAAATTTGCAGCTTTGGTGAGTGCCCGACTCCACCTGTACAAGGCATATTCCACTTGTTGTCCTGAAAATGTTTGTTGTGCAGTTGCTTTCAAGGCTTTTCCAAAATCACCTTTCTGAAGACGTACATCTGATGGCTGAATTTCGTAATATACGGGCAGAACATGTTGGCAACAAGTTTCGTGGCATTTAATGATCTGTTGAAGCTCATGAAGACACCAAGCAGATTCAGCATAGGTTTTGGTGAAAAGAACTATTGCTACCAGACACATTTCTTTTGCTTGTGTTTGTTGTTCTTGGAGTTGCATTCCCTTCAATACATTCTCCTCGTGAAGGAAAGTGGTGAATCCAGCTCTTGAGAGTGAGAAATCGAGATGAGAAACAAATTTCCTACGGATGTCTTCTCCATTAAAGTTGATGAGCACATTGTACATCCGTTGGAGTTTGGATGATGAAGAGTCGAATTCCATGGAAGGAATTGATAAGGTGATGTTAGAAGAGGAAGATGCTCTATTCTAAAGTGCCAGTGCCTTCTAGGTACAACGGAATTATTATAACCAAATACAAAACCCTTATCAGCAAATAATCAATTTATAATGTCTTGACAGTCTATAAAATTAAATTAAATTTATACTATTTATTTAGGAGTAAATAATCCAAAGATCAAAGAAATAAAGCAGGAAAAATTTTAAATTACAAATTATTTTTTTTAATTTTAAAATATAAGATGACAACAAATTATAGCTTCGAGACGTGCCAATTGTTCGAAGATTTATAGCTACATAAAATCTTGTCAGTGCTGGAATTGTAAATATTTTTCTGTAGTAGTGGAAGCGTGTTAAGACCATCGCAGAACCACTTTTGACTTTAACTTTAAAATAAACTTAGAGCATCATGGGAAAAAAAAAAAAAGGAGAAGAAAATAGAACGGTGACTGGTGAAAAAAAAAATCGAGTAATATATTCACTTTCCTTTTCATGTCAAAGTTTCATACATTTTAATTGGTTCAAATTTTAAACTGTGAAATAATACATAATACATGAAATCTACCAAACATTTGGAAGTGTACACAAGAAAGAAAGGTTGGTTGATAATAACTATCAATGCAGAATGTAAAAGATAAAACCAAAAATATTCGAACACATAAAAATTAGAATACTAAACCAATCTCCAAACTAGATAATAACTATCAATGCATAATGTAAAAGATAAAACCAAATTTTTTGAAACAAATAATTCCTTCAAAGTAGTCTCCACCTTCCAATATTGACTTTCGTTTTTTGATGTCCAATTAATTGTATTCAACAAAGTTTTTTTTTTTTCTCAAACTTTATGTAAATTAGTAATTTGGTAATCAACAATTTAAATTTTGAAAGATTATTACAAGGTTAAATTACTAAAGTTTAGCAATTGGCAAAAAACATAAGCTTTGGCTAAGGTTTGGTAGATAAATTTTTTTATATATCTTTTGCTTACATTAATTTCTTGAAATGCAGTGACAAGGAGTTTGTCATTTTTAATCAAGGGAAAAATTACCTCTGTTAAATAACAAATTGGTACCGATATAATGGATCAATAGTCTCATTTTTACCCTGCCATGGTGAGATGAACTATAGATCTCAGTTCATCCTATCAAAAGGCGGGCTGGATCAAATTTTTTTTTTTATAAAATTTTTTATATGTATTTTTTTTAAATATATCTTCAATAATATAAATAATTTTTAAGTTTTTATTTATTAATTAATATTTTTATTAGATAAGTTAAAAAATATTATAATTATGTGTCAAAATAACTAATTATAATCAATAATTTAATTTTAATTAACTAAATTTTACAATATAAATTATAATATTATATTTATATATTTTAATAATATAACTCAAAAAATTATAATATTTTTTATTTTAATTTTAAAATAAATATATTTTTAAAGTGAGACAGTGAAATAGTCCATCATGTCCCACCCTTCTCTTGATCCGTCGAGTTGACGAACTAGATGAGACAGATTAAAGCGGACTAACAAGTTAAAATTACTTTTTAAAGTTAATTAGAGTGATGTAGAAGAAAAATTATTGAATAGATTCTTCTCACCTTCTCGTTATATTATGGCGAAAGCTGAAATTTTTACTTTGGCAAAGATGAGATGAGGTGAGACTTGAGAACAATTTAATTCTTTATCAAGGAGATGCCTAAATTGTTATGCTGTTTTTCTATTTAAAAAAAAAAAAAAAAAGCTTGGTATATGATTGATGAGTTGTAAGGGGTTAACCTAGTTGGTTACTACAGTTTCATTATGCTATTTTTCTATTAAAAAAAAAAAAGTTCCCATGATTCTATTTGGATTTTGCATTGTGGCATTCGTTCAACTTTTTCTTTTTTGCTTTATTGTATCGAAAGGTCTGCATTTTCTGCATAACTCATTCTTGAATAGTAAAATGTTAAACCTTTAAATTTGTGAGTTTTTATGATGTAACTCAACTTATCCATAACTCATTCTTGAATTACAACGCTGTATTTTCAAAAACTCAAATTGCCTACCTAACACCAGCAATTTTTTGTCCACCATGGACGTCAATGTAACCAAATCCTACTGGCCTTAATACAAATCTTCAAATGGTTTTTGTGAGACATACAAGACAATTACACAGAATTCAATTGGTGAGGACCTAACTTACATTATAATCAAGGGCAACTCAATTTGATGAATCATCGTATCATCTTGGGAAGCAAGATTCGCCCAAATAAATGCTCAAGTTCAGTCACCAACTCTATCATTGTAAAATATTGACGAGTTAGAAATTATACTCCATCAAACTCCATTTAACACAATCAAACTTAAAAATGATCGGAGGTTTTAACTTTAAAATTGAAAACTAGAATAAGGAAACTCTTCAAACAAATAGAAGTAAACTTTTCAAAATCTCATGATATAGTCAAAAAGTCCAATTGACATATAAGAAGAAAATAAAAAACTGTGTTTTGTTCATGATACAGTATTAATAACGTAAAAATATGAACACAATCCTCAAAAATAACAAGAGAAAAAAAATACCAAAAACAACTCAAGGATAGTCAAAAAGACATAATGCGTGGAGTGAGAAACAGGATAAAATAACAATGAATTTCTTAATATAAACTACTACTCCACAGAAACAATGTTCTGTTCTCAAATAAGAGCACTAACTTACCAGCGGTCACACACTACACTTTTCTTTATAAATTTATAGATTGCATTTTTCTGCTCACGGCAAGGCTCCATTTCAAAGTCATTTGATTCACCATAGATCAGATAGACAACTGTTTTCTTGACCACCAATCCCTGACCAAAAGTCACACAAATCTTCACCTTGTCCCGAGATCCTAAATTTGATATTATGCCTTGCCAATCTATATCATTAATTATTGTATCATGCTTGCTTATCTGGAATGTGCACTTTGTGTAATTAACAATTAAGACACTTGTAAGACATTTAGTTGCAACGATTTCAGGAGTTGATGAATAAACAACACAAAAAGCCATTCCCTTGACGTGACAGTCCTGAGGCAGAGTGAAAAAAACTGAATGTCCCTCACCCACATGGCCCAACCAATAAGGATGGTAAAAGAAAAAGGAATATGAGGAAATGATTGGAATGAATTTTCTGTATTGCATCAGGGCAATGATTACAACTTATATAGGAAAAAGAATAACAGAAAAGAGAGAATAAAGCATATTTCTGTACTATTTATAGCTCATATATTCTAGAATGTACATCTGGGTAAGAAACAGAAAAGAGAATTAACTACTGTATTATGCTCTAATTAATCAGGGTCTTCTTCTTTTAGCCCCCACAAGCTGGAGGTAGGTAAATATCAACTAACTGCAGCTTGGATAAATTCACAGTGAAAAGGCAAGGTGGGAGGGCTTTGGTGAAAATGTCAGCCAATTGGTTTGAAGAGGAAACCGGAAGCAGCCGCATAAGACCAGCCTGTGATTTCTCTCTAACTAGATGACAATCAATATCTAAATGCTTTGTCCGTTCATGAAAAACGGGGTTGACAGCTATGTGAAGAGCGCTTTGATTGTCACAATAGAGGATAGGTTGAGGTGAGTGAAGAACTTGCAAATCTCTAAGAAGAAAAATGAGTCATTACAGTTCACAGGTTACGGAGGCTAGAGCGCAGTATTCGGCTTCGGAAGAGGAACGAGATACTCGTATTCGTTTCTTTGTCTTCCATGAAACCAGTGAATTACCAATGAAGAGGCAGTAGCCAGTTATGGATCGTCTAGAGTCTACACGAGGTTGCCCAATCTGCATCACTAAAAACACGGATTTGAGTAGTACAATTTCTGGGAAAAAACAAGCCTTTTCCGGGATAGCTTTTGAGATAACGGAGAACCTTGATGGCCGCATTGTGATGAGCTTTAGTGGGGTTTGACATAAATTGGCTCAATTGTTGCGTAGCAAAGGCTATGTTAGGCCTAGTGCTAGTAAGGTAAATCAATCGACCAACCAACTTTCGGTATGGCAGCGGATCAGGAAGAAGGCTAGAGGAATCAGCATGGAGTCGAAGAGTGCTATCCATAGGTGTAGAGGAGGGCTTGCAACCAAGCATCCCAGAGTCCTTGAGAAGGTCAAGACAATATTTTCTTTGGCATAGTAAAATCCCCTTTTCTGAATGGGCCACTTCGATACCTAAAAAAATACTTCAATGTGCCGAGATCCTTAATGTGAAAATTGGAATGCAAAATCCTCTTGATGTTAGTGATTTCACGAGGAGAATTACCAGTTAAAACAATGTCATCAACATATATAATGAGGGCAGTGAACTCAGAATGATGATTCTTAATGAAAAGGTTATGATCAACATGAGCATGTTGATAGCCATAAGTCAAGAGAAGGGAGGATAATTTCTCATACCACTTTCTGCTTGCCTGTTTCAGACCATAAAGGGATTTTCGAAGTTTGCAACTCTAAGAGGGGTTGAATCCAGGCAGTCTAGGCGGTATCATCATATAAACATCTTCAAATAGTTCTCCGTGTAGAAATGCGTTACTCACATCTAATTGTTGAAGGGTTCAGTGATTAATTGAAGCTAGAGCAAGCACCACACGAATTATGGACATCTTGACCACAGGAGAGAAAGTCTCAAAATAATTCACACCTTCAATTTGAGAGTACCCCTTCGCAACAAGACACGCTTTGTACCGTTCGATGCTGCCATCAGGTAATCTCTTAATTTTGTAAACCCATTTGCAGCCAATGGGTCGAACACGAGGAGGGGTCTGAACAATATCCCAAGTCTGGTTCATCATCAAGGCCTCAATTTCATGACTCATGGCTTCTTGCCAACATGGATGTTGAGCGGCTTCGTGAAAGCTGGTGGGCTCAGACTCAGAGGACAGAGACATGATGTAACGATGATGAGAGGGAGAAAGCATGTCATATGTGATGGAGGATTGTATAGGAAAAGAGCACGTTGAAGTTG